GTCTTCACCTGTCCCTGCCTAGCTGCGTGTCTCTTTCTCCCTGCCACAGAGGGTAGGCAGGACCACCTTGGCCACTGTGTGCCTAGTGCCAGTCTCCTCTGCTGAAGGAGCAGATGCGTGCATGGTTGGCAGGTAGTCCCTGGAGCCCTGGATAGGGGCATTCAAGGAGTGCCCAGGAGGCCCCTGGAGAATAGGGATTGGAGGGGGGCAGCAGGCAGAAGCCCCGCAGCCTTTCCTTGGGGAAGGAGTGAGGGGACTGATGAGAGAACCCTGAAATCCACATCCCAGGCAGACAGGCAGCTTGAGTCCCCCAGCCTGCTGGTCTTTGGGAAGCCTGGCACAGGGCTGCACACTCCCACTAGGATTCAGCTCAGCCCCTGTGGATGGGGGGCTCCACAAGGCCTAGAGACCTCCCCCAAGCCCCTCCCCACAAGGGGCTGAGTGGTCACTGGGGGTTGAGCTCCAGTTGAGCACTTCCTGAGAACGCTCTGGGTCCAGATGAAGCCAGGCTTCTCAGAAAGCCGGACTCTGGAACCCAAGAGCCTGGGTTCCGGCCCCTGTGCTGCCATTTTCCTGCTGGGCAACTGTGGCCCAATCATGGCATCCCTGGGAGCCTCAGTGAGTGCGAAGCTGTGGGTCAGGCTTGGCACATCGCAGGCGCTTGATAAAGGGGCACTGCTGCTAGGAATACTTCTGTGAGAGTCTCCTAGGGAACATGGTATGCTGTGGGGTTTACAGGGCTTCATGGGAGCCTTAGGACGTTCCCAGTCCACAGTGCCCCTTCCCCTCGCCATCCAAAAACACATACTGGGAGCCAGAGATGCCTCACACACAGCTCTGTTTGCAGTGTCAGAAGGAGAAGCAAGGAAAGTTTTCCAGAGAAAGAATACCCAGGGGTGGGCGGGAGTGCGCCTAGCATTGAGAAGAGCTTACAAAAGATTGTCCTGGCCAGGCACGGCGGCTCACGCCTGAGACCCCAGCACTTTGGGAGGCTGAGGCGGTTGGATCACCTGAGGTCAGCAGTTCGAGACCAGCCTGACCAATATGGTGAAACCCTGTCTCTACTAAAAAATACAAAAATTAGCCAGGGGTGGTGGTGTGTGCCTGTAGTCCCAGCTACTCTAGAGGCTGAGACAGGAGAATTGCTTGAGCCCAGGAGGTGGAGGTAGCAGTGAGCCAAGATCGCACCCCTGCACTCCAGCCTGGGTGACAGAGCGAGACTCCATCTCAGAACAAACAAGACTGTCCTAGTGTCAACTTTTCAGACTTCTGGGTTTTGTTGTTGTGTTGCTGAGTGCCTTGTTATTTACTCCTTGCCTTGTTCCCCAAAGGAATTGAAGCAGCTCACAAAACCCAGAAGCCTGAAAAGTCAAAAACTCAGAAGTTTGGCTGGATGTGGTGGCTCACGCCTGTAATCCCAGCACTTTTGGAGGCTGAGGAGGGAGGATCGCTTAAGCCAGGAGTTCGAGACCAGCCTAGGCAACATAGTGAGATTCTGCCTCTACAAAAAGTAAAAATAAACAAATTAGCTAGATGTCATAGCATGCACCTGCAGTCCCAGCTATTTGAGAGGCTGAGGCAAGGAGGATCACTTGAACCCAGGGGGTTGAGGATGCAGTGAGCTATGATGACACCACTGCACTCCAACTTGGGTGACAGAGCAAGACCTTATCTCAAACAACAACAAAACCCAGAAGTCTGAAAAGTTACAATGTGAAAGAGGACATCAAATGAAAGGAAAAATCATGGTAGGAAAGAAAGATGAAGGCAGCAGTCCCCACTCACTGAGCTAGAAGACCTGGAACACTGGACAGAGGTGGTTCTGAGCTCCCTAGTGGCTGAGGAGAGGAGTGAAAGCAGATCCCGGTCCCTGATCCAGCATGAGAGGATGAAAGCACAGCCATTGTTCTGGAGACACTTTCTGGTTGTCATCATGGACAGGCTCCCTGGAGGATGTGCCTCCTCCCGCTTCAGGATTTAGCTCTTCTACCTCCCCTGGGCTGGGGTGGGTACATTGTCTGTGCTTTGACAATCCCTAGATCTCATGTGTTCTAGAACCCTCTCTCCCAAAGCAGAACTTTTTTTTTTTTTTTTTCTGTTTTCTGCATTTTAAATCCATTTCAGCCTCCTGACAAGCAATAAGATTTGGAATATTTGTTGAGGGGATGAATAAATGAACTCCTTAGTGCAGAGGTATCTGTGCATTGCGGCCATTTCTTGAGCATTGTCATGTGCAGGTCAGAGATGTGGGAGCCCCACACAGCGGGGAGGAGAGCAGAGGAGGAGGATGGGGGGCTGGGCTAACCTAGGCTTTCCAAGCTGTGATGGGGCAGGAGCTTCTCCACTAGCTCCAGGAAGGGGAACTTGGGCTCTGGGCGCCTGTTTTGAAGAGGTTGCACCCCTTTGAGGGGACCTACGGGTTGCAAGTCACGCAGGAAACGTGACCTTAGCAGTGAGGGCGGTGGAGTGGGCCAATTTCTGGATCTTTCTCTATTTAGTCACCTCCAGCCTTGTTGGGACAGGGATCTGGGGCTAAGCCGCTGTGGTCTCGGCACCCTCTGTCCCCACTTCCCCTCGAGGACGGCCGTTTGAGTATTGTCTAGTGTGGGCCATTTACCCCCGTGGGCAGGAGGAAGGTAGGAGGGGCCTCAGAGGAGACTTCACGGGCCCCCCCACTGCCCTTCTAACCTTGCAGATTCCCCTCTGGGGTCTGTTTCCTCTTCTCTCAACCAGCGATGCCAGGCTGAGGCTGTCGGTTCGAGAATCACGTAGGTAATAGCTTAGTAAAGGGCCTGGCACATAGTAGGCTCTCAAGAAAAGGTCGGAGCCTCTTGAGTCTGCCTGTGATGGATGCGGAGCACAGACCCAGCGCAGTGCGGCGATTCGCCCAAGGTCACACAGCCGCCCCCCCAATTCGGACCCTGGGCGGCCTGACCCCGGGGCCGGGGCTTGTCGGGTGCCAGCGTGGGGGCGAGCAGTGTTTGGAAGAGCGGCCGCGGCCGTGGGTGGGAAGGGGCTTCTATTTTGGAGCGAGTGAGAGGAGCGGGACACGCGGAGGGGGTAAGGGAGGGGTGGGCTCTCTCCGGCATCTCTGTCCCCCAGTCACCTTCCTGCAACCCTTCCTGGGAGGGGCGTTCTGGGCGGTG